CCTTCAAGAGAAGCTTGGACTACCCTCTGTCAGATCTGCTTCAACTTGGACTTCTGCCTTGAGCAGGGGGTTGGACTTGATGGCCTCATGGGGCCCCTTCCAACTCCATGATTTTGTGATTCTTTGATCCCACAACTTAGGAACAGCCGCAGAGACGGCCCCTCCAGATTTGCCTGAGAAGGCCATGGGACTGAGAGACGGGCTTCCCCTGAAGATCTTACGAAGCCACTTTGGGCTGTTCCCGGATAAAACTTGCTACGAAATTCTGGATATTATGTACCTAATTCTTCCCCACTTTAAAATGGTAGCAGAGAAAAGGGCCATAACGCGGAGCTGGGAAAGGACCACTGCGGCTGTGACAACCATTGATGAAAAGATGACAGCCTTAAAGGATGTTTGAATGATCTGGGCTGCACCGTCTGCACCCTCGTCCCAGGGAAATGCGGTCCTCCCCGTTGGTGGGGTTCCTGAACCCTCTTCCCCCAAACCTGCCACTCCAGGCCAGCAATGAAAAACAGACAACCTGGAATGGCAGAGCATGTTCCCTTTGATGACTCGCCAATGGCTTGGCTTCGTATGCACCACTTTGGAAAGGAGGAGATCCGGGCCACGTCCCTCTTTTTGGACTACAAGACCCAGAATCCCCTGGCAAGGAGTCCAAAAAAAGGAGCAATTCCAGAGGCAGAGAACGAGCTGATTCCATCGTAATTGGCAAGGGCAGTTTTAAGACACACTGGAACATCCCGCAAGCGAAGATCTGTTCTCTGGATATGCTCTCTCTCTCTCGCTCTCTGTATGTGTTTTTCCCCGCCTCAATCTTCTATTCCTCCTCTGGTTCTCCTTACATCTGCTTTGCACATGATTCCAGCTTCTGTCTGGCATAGACAGAAGGAGGCTGACTCTCTTCCAAAAAACGAATAAAAATGCACTGCTTATCAACCCCTGGCCTGATCATTATGTATATTCAGTCTTGGCCGGCCTGAATACAGCAGAGACAGCCTTCTGTTCCCACATGATAAGTCCTGGGCAGCTTCATCCGTGGGCCACTGAGCGATCCGTTTCCTCCAGCCTGTCCATTCTGTGACGGTTGGCGACAGGCAATCTTTGCTTTGCTTTGCTTTTACAAGTCAGCAAATTCTTTAAAGCGGAAACATCCAGCCCCCTCCACTGCAAAACCACATCTGAACCCAAGACAGTGTGGCAGAAATGATGGATGGGATGCGGTGATTCTTAATCAGACCTCCTGATAGGTTTTTGTAATGTTAAAACAGCAGTTGAGGTTGTGCTATGTGTGTGTGTGTGTCCCTATGTGACTCCTTCCCCTTCCACCATTTCCTCTTGCTGAAAGACAGTAGGAACCCCCTTATCCGCGGGATCAGGATCCACTGATTTGCTGATCCACGCTCTGAAAATATTAAAAATATTTAAAAGAAAAATCCTGGAAAGATATTATTTCTAAAGGTGGTGCTACCAGAATGGGCCACGAGAGGGAGCCAGAGAGCAGACCATGTATATAGCATTTGCTGGCGAAATATATTTCTACAATGGCATTACCAGAACGGGCCATTAGAGGGAGCCAGAGAACACAATTCATTCTTTGTAATTTGCATTTTTCGGCATCCGCAGGGTGGCATACAGCTAACCAACTGCCTCGTTCCTTTTAGGATTAGGGATATGTGTGGGATCTACACTGTGCAGCCAGCCTGGGTGGCCTTGGGCCAGTTGCACAGCTCCAGGGGAACACCAGAAAAAAGGGTAACCGCTTCTGAGTGTTCTGTCCCTGGAAAACGCTTCAAAAGGTGGTAACCGCTTCTGAGTGTTCTCTACCTGGAAAACACTTCCAAAGTTTGCCATGAGTCGGAAGGGACTTGAAGGCACGTTGTGGATTTTGTTGCTCTTGTTGAATGTTCCAGACGATCATTATTCCCAGGGTTACAATGTAGCCCCTGGGATCATTCTTCTGAGTGTTCTCTACCTGGAAAACACTTCCAAAGTTTGCCATGAGTCGGAAGGGACTTGAAGGCACGTTGTGGATTTTGTTGCTCTTGTTGAATGTTCCAGACGATCATTATTCCCAGGGTTACAATGTAGCCCCTGGGATCATTCATTTTGTTGCTCTTGTTGAATGTTCCAGACAACCATTATTCCCAGGGTTACAATGCAGCTGGGATCATTCGAGGTGGTGAGCGCTCCAACGCTGGAGGCCATCAGGAGAACTTTAAGCAACCGATCTGCTTTGATTTGGATTCCTGCCTTGAGCAGGGGGTTGGACTCCATGGGCTTAGAGGCCCCTTCTGTGGATTCTAGCTGAGGAAGGAAGACCGTTCAACCACAGTCCGTTTGGAACTGCCTGACCGCCAGTGAGATAACAGAACCGCCCGTCTCTCCAACAGAGCACTCCTGTCTTGGGTGGAACCGGGTGGGAACATTAAATTATTTGCTGCGCCTAATTTGGGCGGTTGGCAGAGGCTATCGGTTTCCAACATTGGTGGAGGAGTGAAGTAACAGGTGATCCGTGGAGTGCCCTGCGAGGCTAAAATGCTATGAGTGAATGAGAAATTGACCATCAAGCAGGGGGTTAGACTTGATGACCTCACAGGTCCCTTCCAACTCCATGATTCTATGATATCTCAAAGTAGGCGCACCTTCTTTATGTCTCGGCAAGGCTGTTAAATCGCTCCTTCTTGTGTAAAATAGAACAAGACCGCCCTCTAGCGGTCAGTTCCATGAACAACAGCGTTAGGGTGATGTTTCCTGCATGTTCAGTGGTTCAAGCTGGACACCCTGTGGGTCTCCAGAGGATGCCAGACTGGGCATGAGTTGAACGGCAGGTTTCCCATCCATCCAGATAGTCTCATAAGGAACTCCAGGGGCTGATCCATACGTAATTGAAGTGGACCCCACAGAGTGGCATCATTGGAAAGATGTACAACGGATGCCGCAGGTTGGTATAAAACCAGCCCAGGCTGAGTTACTGGTATGGGCTCAAATTTAGAAAACAACGATTCTGCCCTAACAAGCAAGGAAACAGCTTACTGGTGGCTCGGAATTTGGATTTTGGAGTGGCGCGTGAATGTGGTGGTGTTGTTATGTGCCGTCGTGTCGCCTCCAATTTATTTATTTCATTTGTTTCGATTTTTTTAAAAAAACCTCTGCTTTCTCCTCTTCGGGGCCCTGCACCTGAGTAGACACCCTCCAGAGGAGGCAGAGCTGGGAAGTCCCGAACACCCGTTCGATCTGTGGACAAACGGGCATGAACCACTGAACCGCCTGGCTGTTCTTGCCTATCCCTTAGTTCAAGTTTTGGCTCAGTAGAACATGTGTGGGAACACTTTGGAGATATTTTGGGGATCTACTCACCTGTAAAGTGAGGAATCCGTCCTAGAAAACAGTGGGGGGCTCTTTTTCTTCAGTCGACAGCCATTTTGAAACCCGACGATCAGCCGTTTGCTGATCGTCGTAGAGCGAAAATCGGTTCCCAAAGCAGGGAACCGATCATCGCACAGCAAAAAAAACACCATTTAAAACATTGTTTTGCGATTGCAAAAGCGATCGCAAAAACGTCAATGTAAAGCGGATTCATCGTAGAGCAGGGTAATTGTCCAGTGGGGCACGACTGTGTATATATATATGTATTAAATGTCACTAGAGGGTACATAAATGGTTTGGGGTTTTTTAAAAAAAATCATTTCCAAAGAAAATATTTTAGGTGGGTAGGAGTGCAAGAGCAGGTTCCTCATATGTCCTATGGTGGGCATATTTCACCCTTGGGGGTTTGGAAATTGCCCACCTCTGGTCTAGGAGTAGGTTTCCTCTATTACTATTGTACTTGTGCTAGTTGGATAAAGCCACTGGATGCTCACCTGTGATTAAACCCAACTCCCCATAATGAGGAAGAAGGTGACCAAGGCTTTATCAGCCCCCACCGTTTACTATACCTATATGACTATGGTTGAACAACTTTGGGCCCACTTGTCTCCCTTCTTAGATTTTGCGATCTTTAAACTGGACTTGAACCGGACAGTGCTTCAAACACAGGACTGTCCACCTTACAGTACGTCAATCATGTGGACCTCAAGGATATAGTCGCACTTTTCAAATCCTTGAAAGGCTGTCATACAGAGGAGGGGCAGGATCTGTTCTTGACCATCCCAGAGTGCAGGACACGTAAGAACGGGCACAAACTAACAGGGAAGCCAATTAAACTGGACTTGAACCGGACAGTGCTTCAAACACAGGACTGTCCACCTTACAGTACGTCAATCATGTGGACCTCAAGGATATAGTCGCACTTTTCAAATCCTTGAAAGGCTGTCATACAGAGGAGGGGCAGGATCTGTTCTTGACCATCCCAGAGTGCAGGACACGTAAGAATGGGCACAAGCTAACAGGGAAGCCAGATTAAGGCTGAATATCAGGGGAAACTTCCTAACTGTTAGAGTAGTACAGTGATGGAACCCATAAGCTGAGGAGATGATGAGGACTGGAGGCAATTAGGAGAAATTTAGACAACCACCTGTCAGATCTGCTTTGATTTGTATTCTTGTACTTAGCAGGAGTTTGGTTTCAATGGCCTTATGAGCCCCTTCCAACTCTGATTCTATGATTCTTTGACAACAAGGAGGCCGTGATGGTTTTCCTTGGTCCAGGTAGGAATGGGCTAAACAGCCTGAAGACTCTGGCAAACTCATATTGTGATCCCTTGAAGGTAAAGGTTCCCCTTGACATTGAGTCCAGTCGTGTCCGACTCTAGGGGGCGGTGCTCGTCCCCGTTTCCAAGCCGTAGAGCCAGCGTTTGTCCGAAGACAATCTTCCGTGGTCACGTGGCCAGCGTGACTAGACACGGAACGCCGTTATTGTGATCATCCTGATTCATTCATGGGATCCAGAGTCCACAAGTCTGTGAAAAAGCTTAGAGAAATGCGTTTTCAGGCAAATGTTCGATTTTTCCATCTCTTGATTGTTGTCTCTCCCCCCCCCCTATTTCCCTGTACCTGCAGAATTTTTTGACGACTACTCCGAAGGTCGGGAATGCGTCAACTGCGGGGCCATGTCTACCCCGCTGTGGCGGCGAGATGGCACCGGCCACTACTTGTGCAATGCTTGCGGGCTCTACCACAAGATGAACGGCATCAACCGCCCCCTGATCAAACCCCAGCGGAGGCTGGTAAGGAGATACCTGTGAACCTTCGGGGAGGTGGGGCAGCTGTGAGCTTCCACCCACCTATCCATCCACCCAACATATCTATTCTACCTAGTTATAATGGTCTGGTACATCTTAAGTACACCATGAGGTACTAGTCTCCCTCTGTTCATCACTGGTTAGGCCTCACCAAGAGTACTACAGTGGGGTCTAGATTTACGAACTTAATCCGTATTAGAAGGCAGTTCTCAGGTCGAAAAGTTCTTAAGTCGAATCTGCATTTCCCATAGGAATGCATTGAAAACCATTTAATCCGTATCTGCTCTTTTCGTCCATAGAAACTAATGGGAAGCTGCTATTCCGCCTTCTGCCACTAGAGGGGGATATTTTTTCTTTTTTCCTTTTAACCTAAGATGACTTAGCTTTTAAAAAAGGGGAAAAAAGAGTTTGTAACTCGAATCTAAGTTCGTAAGTTGAGTCCATATATTCCTATGAGAGCGGTTCGTAAGTCGAAACGTTCGTATGTCGAGCCGTTCGTAAGTCGAGACCCCACTGTATTGTCCATTTCTGGACACCACACTTCAAGAACTCAGCATGTTTGACCTTGAGAGAAGAAGACTGAGGGAAGAGATGACAGCACTTTTCACATACTTGAAAAGTCCTACAGAGGAGGGGTACGATCTATTGTCGATCAACCCATGGTGAGGGACACATAACAATGGGCTGAAGCTACAGGAAGCCAGATCTAGGTTAAATGCAGTGGTGCCTCGCTTAACGACAATAATCCATTCCAGGAAAATCGCCGTTAAGTGAAAATATTGTAAAGAGAATTTAAAAACCCCATTGAAATGCATTGAAACCCATTCAATGCGTTCCAGTGGGGTAAAAACTCACCATCCAGCAAAGATCCTCCATACGGTGGCCATTTTTGCTGCCTGTATAGCGAGGAATCCATCCCTAAACACAGCGGGGAGCCATTTTAATTACCCGGAGGCCATTTTGAAACCCCTGATCAGCTGTTAGAAAAAGTTGTTTTGCAAAGAATCGGTTCCTGAAGCAGGGAACCGATCATTGCAAAGCGAAATTCCCCCATTGTCGTTAAGCAGATTCATCGTAATGCGGGGCAATCGTAAAGCGAGGTACCACTGTATCAGAAAGAAAGAAAAACTTTTATCTGTTAGAGTAGCATGACAATGGAACCCATGACCTCAGGAGGTGGTGAGCACTCCCAACACTCCATTCAATTGTACAACCCCCTGCCAGATCTACTTTGTTTTGGATTCCTGAACTGAACAGAGGGGTTGAACCCAGTGGCCTTATAGCCCCCCCTTCCAACTCGATTATTCTATGATCCTATGATAAAAGATTCTGGGAGTTTGGTGAAAAACATGGACTCTTCTACTAGAAGGCTTCAGTGTCTTCTCCCAAACAACAGCACTAGAGCTTTCTAATGCTGAATTAGAATTCGGAGTCTCTCAAACCAGTCCAAAGTTAGTAGGATGAACCAATATCATCTCTGGGAGTAATTGCATAGTGTAGATGTGCTCTTAGTGATTCATCTTTTGGGGTTCATCTCCAGGAAGCCTCATGCATCATGAGCAGATATGCCTGTGCCATTGTAACCCCATCTGGGGTTTACAAAATATTGAAACCGGGTTGCAAAACCCTAATTATTTCCAGGGATATAGCTTGAACTCACTTTTTCACATGTGAAAAGTTTTGCCTCTGTAGGTAATATAGCACAGATTGAAAAATTCTTTTGTTTATGTATAGTACTCATATTCTTGTTTGGAACACAGCGTAAAGTGGCTTATAGCGCAAAACCATAACCATACCAGTTAAATATACTCCTAGTTAATATACAGTTTGAAACAAAGCCCGTTTGACAAAAATACAGGATTGAAATACGCAAGCGGGCTGGATAGCTCAGTGAGTTAGGAGTCCGATTGAAGAGCCAGTGGTTGGGGGTTCAATTCCCCACTGTACTTCCTGCAAGGAGAGCCAGCCTAGGTAGCCTTGGGCGAGCTGCACACTCCCAGGGCGCCCCCGGAAAAAGGGAATGAAAATACACTTCTGAAGTACTAGCACAGGTGAGAACATTAGAACCGGTATGGAAATATAGGTGGGTGGAACTACAGACCATTCTGCACAGATAAGCCCATTAATGCATGCAATGAGATTTTCTTTTTTACAAAGCCTTGATCGCGATTCGTGCCCCAGGATATGAGAGTCAAACTTCTCCCAGGAGCTTTTTTTTTCCAGCTGTCCATGGCAAACTCTTGCATGGGCACACTTTAAATAATAATTTTAAAAACGTCTCTAGAAACTTGTTTGTTTAAAAAAAGAAAGAAAATTGAGATATTTAGGGTGCTTGATGCCAAGTTCGGGTCCAAATGTGATGTTTAGAACTTGATAGGGTTCATCAGGTCCGGGTTCTTAGTTAACGTTTTGCAGCTGGGGAGTGATAGAAGTTTGCTGTAAGCTGCTGGTGAATTAACAGCCATTTGCCTTCGCTTGGGTCTCTTGATCCCACAGTCTGCTTCCCGCCGGATCGGTCTCTCGTGCGCCAACTGCCAAACCCCGACAACCACCCTGTGGAGGCGGAATGCGGAAGGCGAGCCGGGCTGCAACGCTTGGGAATCTCCAGCCATCAGGGTCCGTGGCCTCAGTGAAATGTGAAAAGGGGAGAAGACGCAACGGGGGGGGGGTGAGGGAGAATCGTTTGTAAGAATGGAATGAGTAGAGGAAAATAAAATAAAAATTCCTGCACTTAGTGGCTCTGGATCAGCCTATTCTGTCAGAGGTCTGTAAGAATAATATCTGCATAGTTAGGACCCTTGTATCTGTGGGGGATTGGTTCCTTTCCCACGGATGCTGAGAACTGTGGATAATAGCAAATGCTATAGTACGGTAAAAGAAAAGGGGAAAAAATCCAGAAAAAGTATTTTCACATGTAGTCCCAGAACTGGCCACTAGAGAGAGACAGAGGCCATGCTAGGCATTCTTCAACAGCCAGGTGTCAGACTCCTCTGGGAGCTGATTCCGTAACTGGAGAGCCACCACCGAGAAAGCCCTGCCTCCAGTAGAGAGATGACTTTCGGGCCTCTTGCCAGGGTGGCTACACGGGAAGGGAAGGGTTGTGTGCGTGCCATAAAGGGTAAGTCTTCAATGCTTCCTTGTAGGTGCCGAGGCCTTTAGCAATGAGAAAAGAAGGGATCCAGACCAGGAAGCGCAAACCGAAGAACTTAAACAAATCCAAGACATCAGCCGGTAAGTACAGCTGAAGTGGGGTGGGGGTGGGGAATCTTCCTCCTCCTCCTCCTCCTGGTGCAACCCCAAACCCCATTATCCTCAACCCATGGTCCTTTTGTTGGGGGTTTATGGGAGTTGTAGTCCACATGTCGAGGGACTCGGGTTGGGGACGGCTGGCTGAACCCATCCTATATAATCAACCCGTCCGACCTGCTTAATCCTTTTAGTGCCGCCAGCCGCCATAGAAATGCCCCTGACGGCTTTAGGATCTTCCGGGCTCTGCAGGTCCCCATTTCAAGGTAGGGACAAAGGCCTAGTGATGCTTGGAAAAGTTCTCTCTTTTTTTGGGACTCCAACTCCCATACACCCAGCTGTTTGCTTGCCAGCCGTGCTGACTGGAGCACTCTGGGATCTGGAGTCCGAAAGGGTAACTTTATTTCAAGTTTAGGAACCCTTCACCCAACTGAGAGACAAGTATACCCCACCCTTCCTTCAGTAAGCTGAAGGCAGGACGCCTGTCATTCCACCACCCCTTTTGTCTTCACAACGACCCTGTGAGGGAGATCAGACTGAGACGGAGTGTGAGCTAAAAAGGCAGAGAGCGAGCGAGCGAGGGTCCCACGCCTCGTGGGTCATGGTGGAGACTTGAACCCTGGGTCTCCCAGTTTCATACCCTAAGCACCAAACCCTACCGATCCTTGAATTCTTACGCAATTCTTGTTTCTAAAGTGCTTTCTTTTCCCTCCTTGCTCACACTAATACTCAGGGTCAGCCAGTAGTAACGGAAACTTGACCTCAGCCACCAGCTCCGCCACCGGCACCAGCACCACCACCACCTCTGAGGAGATGCGCCCCATCAAAACAGAACCGGGGATCTCATCACATTACGGGCAGGCGAGCCCTGTCCCTCAGGTGAGGACTATGACATTTAGCACTGCCAGACAGTGGTTTATGTGGTCTCAAGCTGCTTCTGGCGGAGGGCGACTCCATGAATTAATGACCTCCAGAAGGTCCTTGTAAAGGAACATTCCTACTGAGGTCTTGCGGACGGGAGACCATGGCATCCTCATACCCTCCTAGTCTTCCTTGCTGACTGAGCAGTTGAGAGCAGCATCAATCAATGCCAGCTTCCTCATTTTTGATCTCATGACAAGCCTGTGAGGGAGACAAAGGCAGGGTCTATGGCTGGCCTGAACTCTCAGCTTTGCAAGGTTGACTCTTGAAAGGGAAAAACTTCATGGTTGTTGTTGTTTAGCCGTTAAGTCATGTCCGACTCTTCGTGACCCCATGGACCAGAGCACGCCAGGCCCTCCTGTCTTCCACTGCCTCCTGGAGTTGGGCCAAAGTCATGTTGGTAAAAGAAGATAAAACCGCCGGCATCTTACGCGTGCCCTACAAAAACATGGTGTGGCCACTTGTGGTGTATTTGTGTATTGGCTGGTCGTCACCCCACCTAAGAAAACACCATTTGAGAGTGAGAAGACTTACCAGATTTGCAGATGACACAAAATTGGGTGGCATAGCTCATACTTTGGAAGACAGGAACAAAATTCGAAAAGATCTTGGTAGGCTCAAGCACGGCGCTGAAAACGGCAGAATGAAATTTAATGGGGATAAAGGCAAAGTTTTTTGGGGGGGAAAACACAAATGCACAATTGCAAGATGGGGGATCCCTCGCTCAGCAAAACTACGAGTGAGAAGGGTCTTGGAAGGGTTGTTAATCACAAGCTAAATATGAACCAACAGGGTGATGTGGCTACCAAAAAAAAAAGCATTTAGCTATTTTAGGATGTATTAACAGAAGTATAGTCTCCAAATCCCATGAGGTACCATTTTGGGGACTGCAAAAGGGAGGGTAGAGCTGCCCTCACACCTTTTGAGTGGATTTTCCAGTGGCGACGGCTTGGCCACTGTGTGGATAGAGCGCTGGACTACCAAAGTGGTTTTAATCCCTGGCTTTTCCACGATTTCCAAATCACAACCGCTTTAAGCACAACGGACAGATTGTGCCTAGTGTCATTCCTCACAACCAACACAAACAAGATCTGACCTGGTTCTCACGGACACCCAAAATGATGGCTTCCTTTCTTGATTTTTCGCCATCTCTTCGGTGACTTGCTCTGTAGCCCGACAGGATGAGAAAAGACGACCACTCCAGCATCATTCAGAGTACACCGGTTTTGGCTGTAGGGATGGATTTTTTCTATTGATTCCCGTGTACACTGCCCTACTCCCCCCCCCCCCCCACACCNATCAAACTTCGGCTTGTGTTTTGATGAATGAATCTTTAACCAATCTGATCCTTCCAATCAAACCTCCATTGTCGTCGGTGTCACTTTTCACACCTTTACCCGTTGAGTCATCATCAAGGGTTGAAAAATCAAACAAGGGGCATGGGACTGCAAATCAGGCCATAAAATATGTGTGGGTTCTTTTTAAAAGCAAAAAAACCAGGAGAAGATCCAGTAATACACGGATGGGCAGAGTCACAGTAATTTGTAAGGAAAGGGATCAGCAACTGGCGGACACTGTGCAAAATCCATCCAGATGGGTGGTGTTGATATCCGTCTACCTGGAGAGGAAAAAGCAATGCTGGCAAGGAATCTAGGCAACCAGGTAAGGGCTGCCTAGGTGGATTGGGTCCCTGGCCTGTCCTAGCCAATTCCCCAGTGCCAGCGTGTTCCTCTCCTAAACTAGCTGCTAACTAGAATTCATTAGTCACCATACTGGATGGAAAAGTGTCTAGACAATGTATTGAGTCTACCCAACTTAATGGATCTACTTCACTGTTGCTTTTCTCGTTTCCAAGCTGAAGATAGTGTTGGCTGAATAAGCTACAATAGAAATGGGAAGGGTTTTTAGACAGCAGGTCCCACAATAAATGCAAAGCTCGAGACTTCCGCAGAAGAGCCGAGAAAGACTCAAGAAGTTTTCGAAAAGCGTGAAAAAGATTTCTGAAAGTTCTGCCTCACTGTGCTCATTGCTGGTGGATTCCACAGTAATCTCCTGAACCCAGTAATTCCCTGTAGCACCCCTGGGTTAATTTATCTGTATTTCTTGAAACTTTATTATTCCCTCTCTCCATTGCTAATGAAGAATTAAATTTTCTTCCTTTCTGAAGTAGACATTCCACCTCCTCTCCCCTGACGTCAAGCGGAGAGAAGGCCCTTCGATTGATCTTCAGGTTCTCTGCAGTTTTCTCTTAATTTTTTTTTTTGTTTTTCTTCTCCGAAACAGAGGTTTGAATGGGAAAGGGAAAAGATGTTGAACCTTACCTGTATCAACTCAAATAAAATTTAAATGAGGTCTTTCATTGCCGTTCTGTTGACCAGTCCCGGTTCTTTGCTTGTGATAGTCTTCTGCCCTTCTGCCCACATTTACAGGCTGAAAATGTTGATTGCCCCTTCGCGCCTAGAAAAAATTTGACTTGCTGATTTCTGCAGATGAGATGCTACAAGAGACAGAGAAGCCAGGCGGGCTCCCCCCCCCCCAACTTGGAACTCCATCCATTGTATGAACTAGAATCCTGTCACAAACGCACAGTGTCAAGGAGCAACTGAGCCCTCGATTCTACCTGGGTTGCAGGTTGCTCGTGTTTTCCAACATCTGTTGGGTATGAACTAGAATCCTGTCGCAAACGCACAGTGTCAAGGGGCAACTGAGCACTCGATTCTACCTGGGTTGGAGGTTGCTCGTGTTTTCCCACATCTGTTAGTTGAGCAAACGATTGCAGGCCTGGTCACCCGACAGACGGGAAGCAAGATGGAGTGGGGGAAAGAAAAAAACACAATTGGGCAATGGTGCCTTAAGCGCACTGTTTTCTTCAACAGGATTTTGGGTGCAGATTTTGGTTCCATCAGAAGCCACAGGTCCTTGGCGCAAGCGAGGAATAGTTTGAGTTGGTGTAAGAACCTTTTTGAAGTTCCTGGATGGCAGGCAGGGCATGCCCAAAATTGATAAGTATCGGCTTGTTTTCACGTCAAGATGCCTACTCTTGGTTTATTATGAGGGGAATCATAATAGCAGGGTAATAAAAATAACAAGGACAGTATTTCCTTTCCCAGGGAAGACCAAACACAGTTGAAGCCGTTGCTATCCCTGCAAAATGCAACGTTAATGTGTCGTCAGGCAGATTATAGCAAAACCAGATCATGTCTTACCTTTCTGAGATCAAGGAGCGTAGAAAATAGCACAATAAAGTTGAGTTCTCCAAGTCTTCCTCGTGTTTCATCCTTCCTCTTCACCTGATCATCCCAGGTGGTCACTACGTTTCGTTCTTGTTGACCAAACGTTGGCTGTGATGTGTGATCCATGAAACGGGAGCGTCGTTTCCTGGGTGGTTCGTTGCAGATTGAAAGAGAGCCGAGTCAAACAAAAAGCTCGAGGTCATCTGTTCATTCCCTAGTTTTGCCAGGGCAAAGAACCAGGTGGCAGGTGAGGCAGAGAACACCTGCCTGATAGCCTGGGAAGACCGCCTGTATCCATCAGCTTTGCCCAGACTGTCTCCTTCTTCAGCCCATGGACCATTCCTGCCATCCCCAGACAACAGCCCAAATGGCTGGAGATAATAGAAATGGTTGCCCGTCGTATCTAGAAAGCACTGTGTTGGGATAAACTGATTTAGAGACAATATGAAACTGGCAGGCTGGTAGACAAAAGACCTCTAAATGCCCGAACTCTACATGGCCAGTATTGTGTTGCTTGCCTCAACTAGAGTAGACCCATTAGCTCAATGAGATGTGCCATTCAACGGCTGATTGACTCAATGGCCTACTCTTGGTTGTGACTAACATGAGGGTATGGGTTAGGAGGACACATTAGGAAATTTTAGCATCTGGTCTGGCTCATATTTTTGGGAACACTGGAGAAGTTTCTTTGCTTGGAGAACTCCAAGAATCGGTCGGCCAATATGTGAGATGCTTAGAAGAGCATTGGAGGGGGGAAAAACCCTTCACATGAGTAAGCCTTGCATTTCAGTAACAGGCCTTAGACATGGTGCTCAAAGCGCAGAATCCTGTGTGATGGACCCGCAACCAAGCCGTCCAGCAGAGAAGCTGGAGAACTCCTCGAAAGTTGTGTGCAACCTTGGGGTTGGTGTGAGGTGGGAAGGAAACTTAGAGATAATGTGGTTTGGACCTCGTTTCCCACAATCCCCAGCCAACCCAGCTGATGGGAAAGAGCTGTGCTTTGTAGTCCAAAATATCTGAGCGCGGAAAGTCCTGCATCCCTGGCTTACTAAGGGAGTGACTATACTTTGCTACAATTTGATTCCCAGCCTGTATTACATCTGAAAGCACAGTGCTCACACGGGGGGTGCAGAATGATTTGGGAGTTCACTGTTGACACTGGATGTGATGCAATTCACATTCCCGCTCACAGCCTTTCCTTCCTTCCTTCCTTCCTTCCTTCCTTCCTTCCTTCCTTCCTTCCTTCC